GTATCACTACGGAAGGAAGGTTGGGCAATCCTACTTCCGTAGTGATACTGCCTCGGAAACCCAAGGAGGGGTTGCTATGGGTCGGGGCCGACTCAACGGCACATAACAACAACAACAACAACATCACTACGGAAGTAGATTGCTCCATTTTCTTTCTGAGGATAAAGATACCAGTTAAATGATACCAGTTAAAAGTAAAAGGATATAGATAGATAGATGTATTTATAAACCCTAATCTAAAGAAATCTAAAGTGACTGTATTAATATCAGACGAAATAAACTTTAAAACAAGGACAAGTACCAGGGTTAATGAGAGTTATTTATTTATGACAAAATATTAAATTCATCAAAACTATTTGCTGAATTGTGTATATAACTAATAATAGCGCATTAATGTAATATAGCAAAAAGTGATTAAAAATTACAGGAAGAAAAACTACAAATATAGTTGGGAGATTTCAACTCTTTTTTCAGTAATTGATAGCAAGAGTAATATAATCAATAAGGATATTGAAGACTTGAACAACACTATCAACTACCTTGCCCTAATTAGCATTTATATAACACTCTATCCAATAACATCAGAATACACATTCTTTTCAAGTGTGCATAGAACAGTCACCATGATAAACCATGTTTAGTATTTGGGTTCATAAAGCAGGTCTGAATAAATTTTTTAAAAATTGAAATTATGTAAAGTATCTTCTCTAACTAATGGGAGCTCTGGTAGCATAGTGCCTAAGGCATTTGACTGCCAACCAGTAGGCTGGCACTTCAAACCACCAGCCACTCCTTGGAAGGAAGGTTGGGCAATCTACTTCTATAGAGATACTGCCTCAGAAACCCAAGAAGGGGTCACTGTGAGTCAGAATTGATTTGACGGCAGTGAGTTTGGTTTGGATTGATATCTTCTCTGACTGTAACAGTTAAACCAGAAGTCAATTACAGATATGTGTGTGTGTGTGTGTGTGTGTGTGTGTGTGAATAAATATATATAAGATTGTTGTTTCACTTGTTGTTAAAGACAATAGAGAAAAAATACAAAACTACTTTCAGATTTGTGTGGAGTAATATGAAGACTTTTGCCACATGGATGGGGAAATCCAGATTGAACTGAGAGGATGAATGGCTTTGGCTTAATCATCTATAGTTTAAATTGCTCTGCTAGGTAGAATTTCAGTTTAAGAGGAGTAAGTACAGAGATGTACCCTGTAGTCTTGGCAGTCATGACCTTGATCATTTGGTAAATTGAATTTCTATTGCTTGGGAAGGCAGAACCTCCAATAGAGAGGGTCAAATATACATCATTGTTCCTAGAGTTTGGAGAATGAGAAGAGAAAGGTGGAACATCAGGAATGAAATTAAGAAATAAACAAAAGGTGCATTTATTTGAGTGAAGATTTTTTGAAGAGCCTTGAAAAGCACAGGAGCTCCTTAAGATGTTTATATAATTGAATATAATGTATCTGGAATTGAGGGTAAAATAATTAAAACATTTTTCATTTAAGTGTATCCAAAGGCATATCAAATTAGGCTCTTAATGCTGTCCTATGCTTGATTGTGTCCTTGGTGTTTTGTGTTTGGGCTGCAGGATGGAAATGTGTTGCACAGAGCAGACATTTGCACGAAATGCTAACTGAACTTTCCTGTAATCATAATGCCCAACAGTGCAGCATCGTCCGTGTTTGGCAGGGAAAAGTCTCAACATTTGGGAACTCAGCAGTGCATTAAATATTTTAATAATCATTGTTGACACACAAAGCATATGGCCTTTCAGAACTCACTGGATCAAGTATTGAAGCTGCTTCTAGGTTTCTAAAATTACATCAAAATATTCAAACAAAATTAAATTAAGGCACATTTCAGACTATGTTAATTCATAATCTTTGTTTCATAAGCAAATGAAGTAACTTTTCTCCTTGAATGTAAGGATATCTATGAGTAACTGTTTATATTAATTGTGATAGTTATGTTTGTGTGTCAACTTGGCTGGGCCTGGTTGAGTGGCTGGCCAGTAGGTGGTAGTTATTCCCTATGATGAGACTGGCAATCAACTCCATGGTGGAATCTACCACAAGCAGCTGAGTAGCTACTTTGGGTATATGGTCTGCTTCCCATATATAAGAAGCACCTTTGGGATGGTCTCTAGCTTATGGCATGCTTGGACCCTGTATGTAGCCATGTCGTTGTTCAGCAGCCTGCCATGTTCTGCCAACCTGGGGATTTACAATGGACTTGAATTAATGGCCTGCCATGTGGTTTGGCAACATTGGTACTGTGTCTTTTTACTTGTCAACCTTGGGCTTGGCAGCCTCAGCAGCCAGCAGCTGCCTGAGTGAAGAAAAGCCTCTAGCTCCAGTGGACCGGGAGCTGAGGCAGAGCTGAAGCCCAAGGCTGACAGGCTTTCACGCAGCCCCTAGAGCCTGGCACTTTGGACTTGGACTTAAAGCCTCCAAACTGTAAGAGGATAAACTCCTGTTTGTTAAGGCCATCCCATTTGTCTTATATTTTTGTCAGAGTAGCACTAAGTAACCAGAACATTAATGTAAAGGAAAAAACTCAAAATTCATATCCCCACAAAAATTTACTTCACATTTAATTTGAAAATCTAAAACTTCCCTGACAAGATAGCCTTACAAATACCATATATTTACTATGTATTCTTAGCAGGGCTTCAAACTGGCTCTGTCCAGTTTGACCCCCTCCTAAGAATTTGCCTTTTCACCCCAGGTATACTGAATCAGAATCTACATTTTAACAAGATCCCTAGATTATTCTTATGTATCTATAAGAATCTCCTGGGGATCAAAACCTGAAAATCTGTAAGAATCACCTAAGCAATCTTGTTAAAATACAGATTCTAAATCAGTATATCTGGGGTGGAAATGCAAATTCTCATCAGGGGGTTGAACCTGAATAAACCAAAACAAAACCAACAAAAAACTCACTGTCATCTAGTCAATTCCAACTCATACTCCACCAGAGCTCCTCCATTGGGTTTGTTGTTGTTGTTGTTATGTGCCATCGAGTCGGCCCCAACTCATAGCGACCCCTTCTTGGGTTTCCGAGGCAGTATCACTATGGAAGTAGATTGCCCCATCTTCCTTCCAAGGAGTGGCTGGTGGGTTTGAACCACCAGCCTTCTGGTTAGCAGTCAAGTGCCTTAGCCATTATGCTACCAGAGCTCCTTCCATTGGGTTTACAAGGCGGTAATTCTCTTTGGAAGTAGATTTCCCCATCTTCCTTCCACAGAGCAGCTGGTGGGTTTGAACTACCACATTCTGGTTAGCAGTCAAATGCCTTAGGCATTGAATGGACCTGTTCTAAGCCCTGATTCCTAGTCATGTTTTAAAACCTATCTCATATAGCGCCTCATCCCAGAAAGCTTCATTGTCTACAGTCTTAACTTTTTTATCAGTGAAGGCCACGATAATACTGTAAAGTAAGCCATCGTAACACTCAGCAGCTTAAAACAATAAGCATTTCTTAATGCTCACAAAGTCTGTGGCTGGCAAGGTGATCCTAGTCTCTGGAGCACCCACTTGTGCCTCTCTGGTCAGCTGTGGGGTCAAGGAGGGGCTCTCTGCTGATCATGGCGGGCTCCCTCACCTGTCTAGGCATCAGCTGGCCAAAGGCTATGTAGGATGATCTGTTGGGTTAGCTGGGCTTGCTTCCACGTGTCTCTTGCATGCACATATCTTTTCCACCCTTCTAGCTGGCCAACTCAGACATGTGACCAGACTAGCCCAAACATGTTCTCAGGCTACCTGGCAGATTAATGGCATGAATTACCTGAGATAAATTAATGCTTGGCTGGCTCTACCTGGCCAAAATAAGGTATGATGATGCTTTGAATTAGAGGAAGAGAAAATATTGACTTCACCATTTATAATGTGGCTGTTATTAAATTAAAAACCATCTATTTCATTATCAAATCGTGTATAGAACAGACATTTCTGAATCTTTCCCTGACTTACACTCCATCCCTGAATTAGTATATGATTTAGTATAGATTGAGAATTGCTAGTGTATGTTAGTCAATAATGAAATATGAATAGTTTATGAGTTTGTTTTTTGAAATGTCAGAATGTCCCCATGTGGTATCCTGGATTAGATCCTGCAACAAAAACAGGTTAGTGGAAAAACTGGTGAAATTCAGATAAGTCTTGTAGTTTAGTTAATAGGATTGTGTCAATGGTAATTTCTCAGTTTTGACGAATGTACCATGATTATGTAAGATGTTAACATCAGGGAAAGCTGAGTGTAGAGTACACAGGAACTCAGCTTCAAAAAATGGTGGGAAAACAGTAGGGGCAAAAATATTATTCCCATCACATCTTGCGTGTTTCCAGACTTTTCCATCCTACAGTGAGTTTGTCAGTGTCTTCAGAAGAGAATCATTTTAACATTAAAGAACTAGTTACCATTGAATCAGTTCCGACTCACAGTAACCCCATATGTGTCAGAGTAGAACTGTGCTCTGTAGAGTTTTCTGTGGCTGATTTTTCCAAAGTCGATCACCAGGCCTTTCTTCTGAGGCATCTCTGGATAGACTCAAACCTCCAACCTTTCAAGTAGCAGCCAAGTCCTTTAATCATTTGCATCACCCAAGAACTTCAATTTTAATCTTAGACTGAAAAAAAACAGAATTACATTAAATGTGCTGTAAAATCATGATGTGAAATACTCTCTTTTTGTCCTCTGGAGATAAAGAGTGAATATCACAGGATCTTTGTGCCTGCCTGAAATCTTCCAGGGTATTTTTCTTATATGAAAGAGAAAAGCCCATAATTAATCCCTCATCACCTGCAACTTTCAACTACGTGAGAGTGAATGATTAAGAGATTCCCTTTCACTTTTATAGGTACAAACACAAGTGCGCCTTGCAAAAAAAAACTTTGACAAATTGAAGATGGATGTGTGTCAAAAAGTGGATCTTCTTGGGGCAAGCAGATGCAATCTCTTGTCTCATATGTTAGCAACATACCAGGTAACAAAATGATGTTGGTTACAGTGCACCAAGATTGGGCTGCGTCTTAGATAACATAAAGATAGTGTTTGAAGGATCAGACAGCGCAGGTACCGAGAGGATGGAGAGCATTCCAGGTGGTGGGAGCAGCGTAAACCATGGGAAACAGCATTATGGGGGAGGAGAGCTGAAACACAGGTTTTGATAGGGGCATAATGGGAAATAAGGCTACAGAGGTAAATTGGATCGTATTTTGTAGGACTTTGAAAGCCTAGATGGGCACACTCCCTGGGTCTCATGACTGGAACTGGGCATTCACGTTATAGCTACTGTCTTTCTTTACAGACCACTCTGCTTCATTTTTGGGAGAAAACTTCTCACACCATGGCAGCCATCCATGAGAGCTTCAAAGGTTATCAACCATATGAATTCACTACATTAAAGGTACGTAAGCTAGAGAGACTGGTAGAAAATCATATGAAAAGGAAAATTTTGTTAATATCACAAGTAGTGTCCGTGGCAACAAGCATCATCATTCGACAGGTTCTAAACATCAAAAAGAGATCTACGCTCCTGGTGGAGTGTTTTTCACTGAATTGGTATTCAATACAGTGATCATCCACTATGATCCAAAAAATAACAGGTCAGACTTGGGACACATTTTAGTGAGAGATGATGAATTTTTGTGGTGAATACGAGCTTAATGATTTGTCCTGCTCCTTTAAAATTCTTGTTTGGCATTACTAAAGAAAAGATTGTTGTTGTTGTTGTTGTTATGTGCTGTCGAGTCGGCCCCGACTCATAGCGACCCCTCCTTGGGTTTCCGAGGCAGTATCACTACGGAAGTAGGATTGCCCAACCTGATTACACAAGTCCAGTTTACTGAGTTACATTTTAATTATTAAATCCAAATATGCTGGCTTGAAAAGGCGTCTTTCTTTCCTCCCATGGTTACTTCTAACAAATATTATTTTACTCTGAGTATACCATCCAACATAGGATTGGATTTTTCCATAGGACTATAGTGGTATTTTCTAAACGAAAAAGCAGCTTTAAATTCAACGATGTGTTCATCCAAAAGAGATACATATAGTCTGATTCTCAGAATTGCAACTGAAAATGGAATTATTTTTCTCTCTAATGGTTGCTGGGGGTAAATGCATATGAAGATGAGGAAGTGATTTTGGTTCCAAAAGAATTTTAAGAATTGAGAGAACAGTGGGTCTTTGTTACAAGGTCATATCTTTGAAAGCAAAGGGACTGGGAAGAACTAGTTAGAGTTCACCTTGAAATCACTTTGCTTCTAATTTTTCAGATAATTTGTAAGCATCTCATCCATCCCCTTGCTTTATGAAGCCTTAAGGTTTTGTTTGTTTGTTTTTGCCTCAAGCCTCTTTGATTTTGAGAGGTTTTGAATACTGCTGCATTTATAAAGGTACTGAGACAGAAACTCTGAGACTTTGTCCCTTTAAGTGAAGGTCCCAAGAGAAACGCACAGCAGCCCACTCACTTTGCCATGCATGCTGTGCACCTGACCTGACTCCAGGCAGGGCACCAGGCCATGGAGCTCCTTCCTTGTAATCCCCCTCTGAGCTAGTCACTAGTCCATTTGTTGATGCTCACTGACATGCTGCGTGGTGAACACATTCAGACTGCACTTCTTTGAGGCAGGAACTGGACTATAAGCCCTTGAGGGGAAGTACCCTCTATTTCTTATGTAGCCTCCTTGTCCAGCCAACTGTTGTGCACGCAATGAGTCCTCAGCCTTCCTCTTCACTGGCTGTATTGTTGCTGGAGATTGCATGCCTAATTTACTGCTCCTTTCAGCACCTTCGGAAGCAGCCATCCTGAGCAAGGCAGATTGGCTAAAATTATTACAACTCATGCTATTCACGATTCTTGCATGGGCCTGAGCAGAATCCCGTGGATTCTACTCTTTGGTATGACAGAGAGCTCTGGGCTTTAGGGCATGAATGTACATCCAATTTTATTTTATACTAAATACAATTTTAAAGGTTACCTGCTGTCTTTTGAAAGACAACTGTATACATAACACAAATCGGCTAGGAGGAAGGTGAAATGATCCCTACACCAAACACAATTCAAAAGAACTTCAGGTTTGAGCTAACTGCATTATTAAGAATAATATAAAATCTTGAAGTTGATATTGTGCCACGAGCATGGGGGACTCCTTCCATGTATCTCTGGCCTCCTGTGCTGAGGAAATATGGCTTCTTCATTTTTGCCATGATATGTGTCACACAGAGAGTATCAAGCTGATTATGTTTGCAATTTCTGGGCAAATAATTAAGTGATGGTTTGACGGCAATTGTTCAGGACATCATTATAAATATTTTAGGCAGATGACTATCCATTGCCTTTTACATCTCCAGAGTCTTCCTGAAATTATGATTTAATTATAATGTAAACTTACTTGAAGTAATACATCTGGTAAGGTGTAATAGTTTATAGTAATATTAAGAATGTTAAGTGTCCACAAACCAGCCAAATAAACTATGCTTTAATTGCCTTGGTAGAACACTATTCCTCTAGGCTTTCCACTATGACATGTTATTAGAATTTCATACTAATAGCTAGTACATTTCTTTCTGTGGACTAAAATTTACATGATAGAATCTTGTTATTACACAGCTCATTATTACATAGATACAAGGACATTGCATATCAGGTTGTATCTGTGAAATATGACAAAATCTTCAACACCTTAGGTATCATGATCTGGCATGAGGATACTACTTGACTTCCAACCCTCTTGCATCAATGTTTTTTTTTTTTTTTTTTTTAAATACATCCTTTGTATTTATAAGATTTTGGTTTGATCAAGCCATCTTTTAGTATATATGATTTTCTTCTGAAGTGGCATTGTGTATTAACAACGGACTTTCTAAATTTTAAATAAATGTTTATCACTATTTATTTATTTACCTAAGTAAATAGCCCCTTAAATGCCTTTTGGGACTCTGACCAGAAAGAAAACATTGTCTTTGGAGAGGTTTGGCAAGCTTTGTTAATGAAAAGCAACCCATTTGTTGTCTTTGCTTCAGGGTGTATTCTAAGTGTGCTAGTAATTGTGCCATTGCAGCTGTATTTCCTGACTGTTAGTTTTATGCTTGATGAAGGATGATAATTAATGTGTTAAACATTTGGTGCATCCTGTTTAAAGGGAAGAGGCTTTTGCTGCAGAATTACAGGGATATAACTGATGCCCCAGAAGTTCGAAGTTTTACTTTTATGAACCTTTCCTTAGAAAACATGTAGGAGTTCTTGTCTAAAATAATTTTATTATGAAAATGAATTGAGTCTCTATCTCGTGAAACTTGGAAAATACCTGACTGGCTGTTCTGACATTTGTGAATACTTTGTACTATGTGATAATGTTTTATGTGACAGCAGCTATTGCTTTTTCACCCAGGCCTAATATGATTATATTGATTCTACTTTTCTCAACATATTTCTTTATCATTTCAATTTTATAATACATAGAATAGATTTTTGTAGTATTTTAACTTTATGGGACACTCAGCCTCAAAATTTAACAAAACAAAAACCATTTCTAGTCTAATCATTGTAAAGGAGCTCAAATCTAAAGCACAGAGACTACTACCTATTAGTGATTTCCAGTAAAATAAACAATGTTTTTGTATTTTCAAACAGTATATTTATTGATTCATTAAAATGTGGTAGCATAGTGCCTAAGGCATTTGCCTACTAACGAGAAGGCTGGCAGTTCAAACCCACCAGCCACTCCTCGGAAGGAAGACTGGGCAATCTACTTCTGTAGAGATACCTCCTCGGAAACCCAAGGAGGGGTCACTATGAGTCAGATTCGACTTGACGGCAGTGAGGTGGTTGTTTTTGTTTTTGTTTTTTTTGTAAACATACATATTTTGCATAAACTGTCACTAATGTGTTAAATTTATGCTTACTCCGTATCATCTGGGAATATTGTCCACATGATAGAAATTATCAAGTGATGGGGACAGGAATGGAATAGTACTAGCCACGTCTTGAAAGCACTGTCAGTTTTTTAGAGACAGTAGTTTAGACTGTGAGTTTGAAGAATTTTTTTTGAAAAACTAAATGAAATTCTGTGTGTTAGGAAAGCAGTAACCCCTTCTTAAACTACCAAGCCTCAGATGTGGTCAAGTTTCCCTCATTCTTCCAGAATGTCATCATTTGCTTACAAATTTCCTCACAGATCCAGAATAGGCATCAGGAAAAATCAAAACAAAAAATAACAATCTCTCAGAAGTCAACTGGCTCTTCCCTCGAAAGCCTAAAATTCTGCATTGATGCCCCACCCCCACTCCACCATGCAGTATGTGGATAGAGTTTGGATGTGTTTATAGATAAGTGAGTGTGAACCCCTCGCAGCAGTGGAGATACTCGTCTTGAGGCTGGTTGAGGGGAAAGCGTGTCCTCCTGCATTTGCATGTTGAAGGAACCCAGTACCTGTTCACTGGTGTATTCCTGTGATGTGCCCCACTCCAGTATTTTGGAAGGAGTTTTTTACTTTCTACTTCATGTTCTCCTTGTGATAAAGGAAAATGTGGGAAAGCGAAAGCTCTGGAGTGAGCAAAACCTGCCAGTCAATCCAGTGCTGCCACTTTCCAGCTGTGTGAGGGAGGTAAGGGTATCAACAGTGGTGAGGTGATAAAGATGGCAGAGGTGATGAGGGTGGTGTGGTAGTAGTAGTGATGATGGTTGAGACAGTAGTTGTGACTGTGGTGGTGATGTGGTGATGGTGGTGGTTGGAGATGGGAGTAGCTACAATGATGGTGGTGGTAATGGCACCATGACACCATGGTAGTGGCTATGGAGGTGGATTTATCAAGAATTCTACAATGGATCCTGAAGACAGTCACTGAGAACATGAGGACAAGAGGGTTTGTTGAGGTTACATGGCTTTGTAGCCCAGCTTGAGTTATTTTCTTATTCTCCATTTTCATTCTACATGATTAGTTTTATAGTAAGTTTCACAGACAAGGCTGGGAACAGCAGTGGAATAGGAGATCTCACTAGTTGTCCACACCCTCCCTGGCTTCCACGGGCACTCTGGCAGCTCCATTCCCAAACCAGTCCTTCAGCCGTGCAGGCCCTGGTCTGAATTCATGTAATTCCTGCTGGGGATAGGAGAGGGATGGGCAGGCATACAGGCAAAAAAGGCAAAAGATTTCCTATCCCTGCAATAGGGCTAATTCAAAAATATGCAGCTTGGCTTTGCAGTTGGCTCTTGATCTGTGCCAACATTTTAACTCTAAGGAAACCTGAATTTGAAAACATAACTGTATGCTCAAAAATAACCATCAAAACAGATTTGCCAATGTTCCCTCCTTTCCTCCTGGGGTCTAGGACTTAGCACAGTTATATGGGGCATCATTCTGGAGAACAAAATATTTTTAGCTCTCAAAACTCAAAAAAAC